GTATTTAAATACTGTATTTGTACACCAGATCGTCTTTAGTTTCTGTATTTCATTTTGTAAGTTTGTTTTCTGTGTTTGTAATTACTTTATTCGTATAATAAAAAATGCTATTTAAAATTAAAAAAAAACATCATATCATAACAACCAAGCATGCAACTAACAGCAGACGACAGCTTGAATAATTATATGTCAGCCGATTAAACTGTTCGTCGTTTTCAGATGCAAATTTCGATCAAAAACTGTTTTATTATCACTATCTTCCATCCAGTGCCAACCACGTGGGAATTCCTGATGTGAGTGTATCAACAGTTGCCTTGCAAATATGTGTATTAACCGCTCCCCCGTCGCCTTGGCCCTCGCCAAAATGTTTATCTCGCCTATTTGTTTGCGTTTCTCTCCAAATTAAATATTAATTTTGAGCCATATAGAGCCCATATGATATTCTTTATACATTTGTATAAAAGTTTTTGAATTTTGGCAGCACAAAAAAATAATCAGTTGGAAATACTAAAGTGACTACATCGCTTTTGAGTGAGACATTATGCTACGTACACTGAAGCCGCTTATCTTTTATTTCCATCCGCACGCGATGTCAGAGGTAACAGCTATCTAGTGGAAATAAAAATATATACTCTCATTGCTAAGGGGTGGTATGTGTAAAAGTGGATGTCGTTCGATTAAGATATCCCGTAATTATACAAATCTGTTTACTCAACACGATGTTGTTAGGAACACCGCGTCTTCAATGTCCCTCACAGTCCGTCTGCAAATTTCAAGTAGGCACTCTAATATAAGCTTGTTTTTTTAGCGAATCGAATCTCCGTCATCTTTGCCACGTGTTTGTTTGATCCCCTGGTGGCTCCCAGTAATGTGATAGGCAGCAAAGTTATTGACCATCGATTGACTCGTCAATTCATTGATAACGATCACACTGTGACGTGAATAATCAAATATATTTAGTTGCTGATACATGCTGACATAGGAACAATTACGCATGGCAGTTTGTCCCCGTAATGTTTTCTGCTAATAGTATTTCCGTGTTGGTTAAATCCACCGCAACTGAAGCAGCTGCAATCCTAAATATTTGTACGTTGTCATTATTTTGCATGTTTTGTATTTTGAAAGTCGTTGCCTCAAAATCGGCAGCAATATTGGCGTCACGACATGGCCAAAGATTTCCAATTGAAATGACCCTCAAAACGTTTCATACTGCCACTCTCAACTAGTAATCATGTGGTATTTATTTTATATTCTTCTGAAGAATCAGTGATGTTTAATTTCTAAAGAATTGACAAGACGTTAAATCATGTAATAAACATTTAATAAATCAGATTATTGATTGGACAATATCTGTTGTTACAACATAACACTTGAGGCTTAATATTTTACCGTGTCATCATTCTCGTATCCTCGGGCGGACATCCGGGCATTTTCACCACCTGGCAACCATCAAGATAGAAACAAAGGCCGATAACTCCCAGAAAACGGTATTTTGGGATAGTTATTGAGACTCTACTAAACACAGTTACCCCTATGTGTACAACATATATACACTCAGTACAGTGGTGTGCGTCTTAGCAACATAAACGTTCTGTGACGTAGCTCCGCCCTGAAGATGTTTTGTGTGAGATTCTTTTCTGGCTTTAACAAACTCCGGGATGCATTTATTTATATTAGTTCGTTGAGCATTGGCAAATAAACAATGTACAGCGTATTGTCGTGAATATCGTCAGACGGTATTAGTTCTACAGAAACCTTTCCTACCTTTTTCAACAAATTTGATCAAAACCTATACGACTTTGATAATTAACTACCCATTTAACCAACAATTGACAAAGACATTATTAAATTATACAAATTTGCATAATATTACACCAGGCTTGATATTACACCAACATGTTGCCGCGTTGATGACGCCCAACACTAAGTGTCGCAACAAATATAGCTGCACGTGCCCTGGATCTCGTCCCACGGCGGCTGGCTTTGATTACAGTTTGGTTTATAATCACACGTCCAATGAACGGACAAAATTGTTTTTTATATTTGTCATCACTTTTTGATCAAGTCTAGAACGCATTACGAAGTTATGTCCATTCAATTCAAAAAATTACAGAAAATTACATAAAAATGTTTATTAAGTAAGATGAGGTGTTACAAATCGTCGTGCGACAGAATTACACGTCAGTAGAACTAGATCATGCAGTCCAATGGGTATGGCGCGCTTTAGGGTTCAATTGGTATGCTGTGTTGTCTTTTTAAATCAGTCATACCGTCCTTGGTGAGTAATTAATTACAATTAGAAAACAAGTCGTAAAATTAAAAGAGATCCGGACTTTAAATATAGTTTAGTATATTGCTATTAAATTCTCTGTAGGTTCATCAGTCTGTACATTATTTAGAAAGTAAAATTAACATCACGATTTAGCAGTTTATTCAAATTTATGAGCGTAGCTTGTGGCTCCCCCGAGAAAATATATGTTATGTTAATGACAGTACGGAGATGCCGCTGATAGATGCTATCAAAAACAGAGTGAATTTATGACACAATAGACCTTGGACAAAATGGCCGCCCAAATCTCGTTGACAGAGAGAATCACGTGACGTCTTTGCCCTGACGAGATGGACAACTATTTGATAGGCCAATACAAGTCACGTGGCTTTCTGTTCTCAACGAGATATTAGCGGCAACTTAAAATACACTTTATCAGACCATGAATTAAAGTTTGTTCAAATATTGTGACAGAAAAAAGCCCTATTGTGAATAACAATGTAATTTATTAGCCTAGTTGTGTATTCATAACTTATTCCGTGTTCAACTC